TTTTACTAATTCAATTTTACCATTCTAATCTCATCTTACCCAAACAATATTACTTCTTGTCTTGATCTTGACAACCTTGGCCCTGAGGCCTAAACCCAAGGCAAGCCCGAGCATGGGCCTGTATATGGCGGCACAACATAAAGGATTAAGCTAATGAGATAACGACACGCATAAAAGCTTCATAAATAAGAACTACAACCCACGACTACCACCACTTATTCATAGATTAATTATATATTCGTTATTACTGAGCTGGAAGTCTCGTCCCCAAGGTACCCGCTCCGTTGGTGACTTCAAAACACGACCTGAAATATATATGAAGCCCAGTTAACTAGTCAAAGTCTACCTCAATAAATCCTGACGGAACAGAACCCAAGCGTGAAATTGGGAAGCATTCAAGATCATGCGCCCTCGGAGCTGTCAGACCCGGCCGTTCATCCATATCGACAACATCTACCGGCCCATGTTTCTCCCCATCTGTAACCACCACCTTCCAGTCGAAGCACTGAATCATGGCAGCAAGTGCCGTTGGTAGCTCTTGCATGGCCAAGGAAATTCCAGGACAGGCCCTCCTCCCACTACCAAACGGTAACAGTTGATAATGCAACCCTTTAACATCTATAGTCGTCCCCGAAGCCTCACCGTTTTCAGATTTCAAAAATCGCTCCGGCCGAAACTTGAACGGATCTTCCCACACCTTCGGATCCCTTCCGATGGACCAAATGTTCACGAAAAGTAAGGCGCCTTCCGGGATCGTATATCCGCCGATTTTACATTCTTGAGTTGATTTTCTTGAAATCATGGGGATGGGTGGGTGTAGACGAAACGTTTCTTTTATGACGGCATGGATGTAATGGAGACTAGGATTGTCAGATTCTTCTACCAGCCTGTTTTTCCCGACGACTTTGTCGATCTCTTTCTGTGCTTTCTCGAGTACTTCTGGATGGTTTATAAGTTCCGCCAGTGCCCACTCCAGTGCAATTGCGGTTGTGTCAGTTGCAGCCGTTAAGAAATCCTAAAATTCGTTAGAGAAACAAGAGTCATGAATGATTAAAAAAAAAAAAAACTCAAAATTATAATAATTGGAGAGGTTGGACATGGATGTAATGCTGCACTTCGAGCATGTATTAATCTGTACATGTATTCTGCAATATGCCTTAAAAGTACCCTTGTACTTTTCTTAATAAATTTTTTAGTAAAATATAAAATTTTAAATCAACCTTGTTAAAGAAACTACAAAAGTACTTATAAAAATATTTAACTATCATTAAGGTTTGGGTGATTCATTAAAGAACTATTGTAGCATTCAACATTTTTTTTTTTTTGTACGTTGACTTACAAAAACACTTTTATGAT